TTATCTCTATACATTACGTATAATTTTTATAGTTAAACGTACCCATTTCATTCTCTCATCACTTTGAAAAATTCGCGATACAGTATCGTTTATATGTGATATCTACGAGCAACGAGATTGTGGCGGACGCTACACGGCTTCTTGGAATTTATCTCCGATCTCACAAGCGATCTCTCTCTAAATAACTGCTATTAATCCAAACGCTCGATCAAACATCACGAGGAACCGCGACAAGGAGCTCTTTGAACCACTGCTTACATCCGCCACAATCGCCTCTGTTTAAAGGTTTACAGCTCGCAAAGCCGGAATAGACACTAGCTTTTACCAATCACGATTAACAGGTTCGTGTCGATTCTATTAGTCGTTTTGGTGCGAGAGATAGCTGTAATAGAATTATTTGTTCATTTGTATTTGAAAAAGATTTATTAGGTAAAGATAAGGTATTCCCTGCCTAACGAACAAAACTATTATAAGAACTGGACCCCGGTCACCCCTGCACACAATATAGTTCATTTTATCACCAAATTTGGCCATTACGAATACCTCGCATATACAAACTATTAAGTCTCAATTTAATTAAAAATTTTAGCAACGTGTTTCCTTCAAATATTTTTATTATTATTTCGGTAAATTTATTAAAGACCTGTTACTGTCTTAAAATAATGTTCCATTTCTTTGTATATAAATTCTTTCACACATACTTAAGTTTTTATATTTATAGCCCGATATAATTTCTGATCAATTTGTCAGCCGGTTACGTTAGTTTTGCCGGAGGCGGCAAATATGGAAAAGCGAAATTATGTAAATTAACGTGGAATTAATTAAGGATTTCGTGTTTGATTCGCCGGAATCGTCTATAGACGAATAAGATACATTAAATTGACGTGCTTCAGTAGATGAATTTGTAGAATAGGTGTCGTGGAAGGTAATCCGTAAACTCTAACCCCTCAGTAAAGTATGCTTGTATAACTAGATGTCACTAGTATTGTTTCTTAGTTTAACTTTACTATCGTGTGGACAAAACCAATAACACCACATAACCCCATACTCGACCCAAGAGACGAGGTATTTCGAAGATGTATTACCGTGGCAGGGCCACGCAGCAGTCCTCGCTGTTGCACGGATGGGCAGGCTCGTCTGGTACGTACTAAGGCCTCACAGGAGACCGACGTGAAGTAGTGTTATACTTCTGCGTTTCGTCCGTTGAGTGGGGTAACCCGGGCCCACTCATTAAAAGGTCGCTTCGCCTTTGCATACCCACGGTGCAAAAGTCCACGGGGGGCGTTTGTCTAACATCAAATGAACCGCCAGCTCTCTCCAAATTTTTCCCAAATCAAAATTTTACTACGGTTAAATCGTATCGGAAAAGGCACGATTGCTTGCGAACAGGTGGCAAGTTTGGGTGTTGGGTAACAGGTAAAGCGCTGAGGAATGTTAGCGGCGAATAGAGAACGAATAGCGGTACACAAACAAGGTCGCGTGGCAGCCTTGCTCTTCCGCACACAGACGTGATCTACGTTATAAACCACCATTCTATAGCGGGGATGGCGTGTGAACTGGAGAAAGCGTTCAAGACGACCTGATGAGCGTAGTGGATTGTGGACCTGTCCCCTGCGCCAGGGGTGTGGGTTCGATCTCCAATAATCGAAAAATATTGTGATGAGCATAGTGTTTTTCTAGTGTCTGTGCATATAACTATAATATGTATTTATTTAGAAAATAAGAGTATTTTTATCAGTTACCTATTATCGATAGTACAAGGTCCGCTTAGTTTGGGACTAGGTAACGTTGTCTAAAAAATATGTCGTGACTTTGTTTACTATTTACACATTATGTGATGTTTGTTTATTTATTTATTTAAGCTTTCAACTAGGCTTAAGTCTGGCCTCATCTCCCGTTACCTCATCCGAATATACCTTGTTGATTGTCAAGATTTTCAACAAGCTCAGCGTTCGGACGCTCGTTTCTAATTCAATATTAGTATTAGTTATAGTTTTAATACCGGTGCCAATGAAATTGTTAATTGAAATTTTAAACGCTGATTAATCAATTGCTCAGCGGTGAGGGAAACACGCGTGAACGTTCGCGTGCCTTTGTCGTAACAAAATAATTGTTTTCTTCCTGATGAAGTATCGTTATCGCCAATCCGGTTTATTAACTATCTCAGTTTCAAATTTCATTCGAATCTTCTCATCCGTTACGTTTACTGAGAACTTATATGCATACAAACTTTCGCATTTGTAACAGTATGACTAGTGTTGACTTCTGCAATTTTTTAAATATCTCTTATTAGTAATCAACTGCGCTGTTAGAAGGTCTTAGCAAAATTTAAACTTGCACATAAATTCCATACGATTGTATCTGTGCATTGTTGGTCAACTATTCGAAAGTGAAAGAAAGATGAAAAGATAATAGAAAAGTTTAGGGGCGCTTTTTGTTTAGGTCGAACGATCTACGTTAAAATTCCGGTGCTGGAATTGACGTTGTGAATTGCTAGTTAACAACACTGAGGAAAAAAACTAGAGGAGACTTGCACCTCTGAGACATACCACAGATGAAATATTTCTAACGTATAAAGCTAAGCTAATCCACAGTGGCGCCGCATGGCGAGCTACGCCTTAATACCTTCTGTACAAACGAGGCCTTTTCCCACCAGATATAATTATATATGTATAGACTGTTACTTTTACTTTAAGACTTCGATTCGTGGGAACGAACACTCAGATTGACATTTTATAGCCCCTTTTATGAGGAGTGTTAAAGAATGCAAATGTCAAGAGACTTACTAGGCTTACTACTCGGAATCTGTGAAGAAATGTTGAAACAATTATGTTACATTAGACACAATAATTCCCAATACTTGGAATTGGTGGATATTATGACAACATAAAATATTGATGTGCTTTCGAATTTTGCGTTTTTAAGATTATTAGACACATTAGTGTCAGAAATATGTGTCTGGTGCAAGGTGAATAGGCGCATCTTTATCACCTAAGAGACAAAATACGAGTATGTTCGGAAATATTAGATGTTCGGATTATAAAACTGCTGACTAATGACCTGATTTTAGATAATTGTTAGCACCTCGTCCGATCGTATCATTAATACAGTTACGTTTGTTACAATCCTCACATAATTTTTAGTCATACAAGCCTTCACACTCGATATACACGCAATAAGAGGTGCAGAAAAGGGCTACACAATTACGCACACACACGCGGAGCAAATGCAATTTATTATTAGCATTTTAATAGAACTTCCAGGAGACCGCTCCCTTATGCATGAGACCTGGCTGACGTCGACAGAAACCTAGAACGCCGCTCAACATTATCCGACCACCGATCTAAATTGAATACGCGATCCAAACCGAACGATTTGCGACGAGGAAACGACCGGTGAGTATCGTATGCGGGGTATTTTCTCGTCGGGAATCTTTCAGGAATAACTCAGGGATTGCCAGTTTCTGTTAAGTGGAAGCCTTGTTTGACATACGCGTATGTTGATCTCACATTTTGTTATTCGGTTCGAAGAAGTACAACAACCAGTCGTCATAAATATTAATATACAAAACACGCCACAAGTCAGCTTCTGCTGTCTCGCGAATGGGCTGGTCTTGAAGAGACCAGCGTAAAGTGAAAGTATTTTCGCCGTTCTTCTTGTGAGTGAGGTAATCGCAGCACAAGTAGTTTTTTCAAGGTTGTTAACGCATCTGCTGTTGTATATGATCATGCTAATCACTTAACATCAGGTGAATCGCCTGCTCGCTTGACGACTATTCGCATAAAAAAAGACGAATTGCTAACGCTTACAATCGATGTACAGTATGACTTACTGATTTAATGTTTTCCATGCCTTGGCAGGCAGTATCGGGTAACCATAAATTTAAAGTTTGAAGCGGGTTCGCTAAATAGCTAACAGCATATAGTGTGATATAATCGTACTTTATTGTCTCTAGGAATGGAAGAGGAAACATCATTCGATAAAGATAACATATGCATATTTATACAAATTATCTTTATCGTATGATAAATTTCGCTTGAATCCCGCGTAGCGTTCCGGCGAAACCCGAAAGAGGTAACAAAAAAGAGGTCCGTTGAAAAACAAACAGATACCGCCAGCCGAGCGGCCTGGCGCATAATAATAAATCTCTAAAAACGAAAAAACACCGAGCGGATAAGAAGCACTTTACTTTATCTTATAATGTTTTAACCTATACTTACGCGTCCTCGACTCATTAGTTGCTCCATCCCGCTCTACCCTCGCTCCGTCTCCCTCCCGCCCGCCTCCGGAGGGCCATTTATCAAATCCAAATAGCGCGCCGGGACCTTTTCTCTCTCGTGTTTGTTTATTTTTTTTTATCTCAACTCCCCCGATCCTTTGGTGCGCCGTCCGTGAGCCGCATTTCAACTCGAAATTGATTGTAAAGCCGACTTAATGACGACCATCCGATGCATTGTACGATGCGATAACGCTAATTATTCGGCTAATGATGGAATATTAGAGAGAACCTTCAGACGGGTCCAATCGATGTGACTCAAAAGGATTTGGGCCGATTCTAATTCGGGTTAACAACGTCAACATTGAGAAGCTTTGTTCCCGATGTAGTCTACGGATTGAAATCACAAACATCAATAAAAGATTGGGATAAATAGATCCCAATGTAAAGTTTTACGCAATATTTATTTACACTGAATGCAATCCTGCAAAATGCCAATGACTGTGACCATTTCCAATTCATTTGCTTGTTTGCTTTTATGTCTGAGTCGGTGCTTCAATCGCTTTGTCCGGCTCGAAGGACCACATGCCGTTTTGGAAGGATTCCCAAATTCGAAAAGCTGCCATTTTGCCCAAGTTTTTCCCACCGCGCCATTACACGTTGCAAATTGGCCGAACTTGGCCGCCGCAGAGATGGCTTCTGATTACTTTGCCTCGCCGGACGACTTACTCAGGCGGCGATCGTCATCGATTGGGCCCGCGCGGCCGAAAAAGGCATTTCGGCGATGCAAAGGTATTCCAGGGATGCCATCAAGGGGGGTCCATTCGGACTGGGCTGGGTGAGGCGGTCCCCCGCCGAACTCGACTTGTTCCGCCTAACCGACCCGCGGCTGGGCCCCGTATTTACATTGAGCGCGGGCCCCGCTTCGGCGGGATTTATGCGGAGGGCCGCGGTGTATGACGTGCGCGTTATTATTGGCCCAGATGCGTTGTTTTCGCCGTTTCACCGGCCCGAGGAGGGTTTGTTCGATCGCTTAACTGGTCAAGAATGTATAGATCGCTTTCTTTCTTCTTTTTAGCTCAATCGAAAGTCCGTCGTGGAGGTTTTTTTAAATGTATTGCAGTAATTCAACAATATCATAGGTTTTTCTGTGAAAACTGAGAATAACACAGGAAATAAATAAGGTTAGGTTTACATTTGTAATAAGTGTAGATATATGAATATGAATGATAGATATATGAAGTTATGAAAATTAAGTATGAGATGCAACAAAATTGCATTGGTTACTTTAAAATTGAAAGAAATTTAATCATTGACAAGTTGAAGATGCGCATTTCTCTATTAATACGTCACGAAGCTCTCCAAATGGTAATCATGGTTATCTGTATTAATGTAATTGAAGTCTGTTGATTTACTGAGGAAATTCTGTGATATATTCAATGAGATACGTATACCTGATACTTAGGGAATTGCGTAAAACTTAATAGTATTAGTGAATTTTGCTTTGTAATGTTTTATATATTTATTTTAATTGTTTAGCTCTATCATATTAAGATAGGATCACAGTAATGTTTTAAAATAGGAGTGGGCGGATTTTCACACACGTATACAAGGTGTATTTCGATATTGGTCGGTTTGTATATTCCTCTTAGTACCTGCTGCCCGCGACTACGTCGGCTGAAGGCGTAAGATTCAAACAGAAAGACAATTACAGAAACAGAATTTTTTATCTATGTGTTATTCTGATGTATAAGCTATATTAGTATAAGTTTCATTAAAATCCATTCAGTAGTATTAAATCCATTTAGTAGTATTTGCGTGAAAGAGTAACAAATATCCATCTGTACATAAAAACTTTCGCGTTTATAATGTTAAGTAAGGAAGTAAGGATTATCTGCTACTCTAGAAGTAGTTTTCCCAAGGGAACCAGATCCCAGATCTCGGAATTGGAATCGTCAACACGTCGGCGTGTTATTACGCAGGGAATCGATTTAAATGCGCGTGGGCGTTCACTCGTAGCTTTTAGGTTTATGAACGTCTAGGTCGGCTACGCGTGCCTCGCATCGAAAGCTATCGGGTTTTACGACATCGGCGGGCGCCGGAGCGACGGCTACCCTAATTGCAATCGAGGAAGGGGAGATGAGGGGGGTGTACCTTTTCCGCCATTCGCAATCACAATTTCCTTTGAATCTAGACGCGTAAATTGCAACATCCTTATAGTGTGAAAAATTATCGTGCTTCCGTTGTTTACAGTCTAGATATCTAAACTTCACTGAGTAAATTTACAGCATTCTTGAGAGTATCTACTATTAGGATGCGAAGCATTGTCCTGGTGATAATGACAATGCCGTCTTTCCTCACGGCCACGATGACAACCCCACTACTTGCGACGTTTGCAATCAAACGGGATGCTCCTTACGGTCGGAATACGCGACAACTTGTCACTTTGTCCTAAAGCGGTGCTTTCACGCCGGTAAGATTCAACGGACCCCCTCATTTGCAGACGCGAAGCCCGCTGGCGACGCGGACGGCGTCCGCTGCTACTGCAACACCGCGCAGTGCGTGGGCACCGGCTACATGTGCAGGTCGCGCCCCGGCGGCGGCTGCTACAGCGAGCTGCCGGCGCCGAGGAGGCCGCACCACGCGCGACACGGCTGTCTGCACCACCTGGCCGACAGGTGAGTAATTCGACGCTCGTGTCGCACTAGTACTGTCCGACGGCTCTTGACGACCCGAATGACGTAGTTCGGTGTACCGGCCTCCTGCGCCGGAGGGTGTGGGTTCGATCCCCACAACTGGAAAAAATTGTGTGATGAACATAGTGTTTTTCTAGTGTCTGCGTGTTTATATATGTATAATATGTATTTATTTACAAAAGAAAAGTATGTGTAAGTATGTTTATCAGTTATCTAGTACCCATAGTACAAGCGTTGCTTAGAGAATGTTGTGTAAAAATGTGTCCTAAAATATTTATTTATTTATTTATGCTTCTCTTTATCGTCTTTCTAGACAGTATGCTCTATGTAGACATTTCCAATACAGGATTTGTGAAAATGATTTGTTGTGCACTTGCAAGTTCTCTGGCTGCTGCTGATTTTATTTTTAAATTGTTTTGTATATTACTTGTATGATTTAAAGAAAGACAGATAATAAGACCTCAGAGTTTGCCGGTTCTTCTCTGCTAAGGTCTACTTTCATGAACTGGCAGTAGCTTTTTGACGTTCAATAAGAGCTTAAAATAAGCCTTTATTGAAAAAAGAAATTTTGACTTTCACTTTGCCTATTTTTGTTGTCCCTTTCAACAGAGACTTCCAAAACTTATGCTTCATCCTCTTGTAGCATTCAGGCTTTATATGCTTATCTGATATTGGGCCTTCTTGTCGGTATTCGGATTGAAACACGTTCTACACCGCGCATTTAGTTGTATGCATGATTGAGAGTTGTACCATATCTAATACGCCTTCATACGCGATCTTGTTCTATACCGGTTATGAACTTTCAGATGCTTGCCATTTCTCACATATTACCTCGTATGTAAAAGCTGTCTTACTTTAAACGTTTGTTCATTAAATGTTTTATTAATAGTATAATAGTGACCGAGTCAATATATCTATAGATTTATTACTATTAATAAAACTAGCATACTGATGTTTAAGTGCCATTAGTGATATAAAAATGAAATAATGGCACTTTTTAAAGTAACAATTGAAGCATCACTTGATGTATTTGGCATGTTTTAAATATCTTTATGTATAAAACGACAATACCGATAACTGGTTTACCAAACAACCAGTGAACGATTAAAACCAATCAACATTCAGCCCGCGTCGTAATCGTGCCTCGCGGAAACGTTTAGGGTCCAAACGAAACCTCGTGGCCATTTAAAAGTCTGAACGAAATGAATTTTGTAAAGTGTCTTCTTTGACGGGCAAAAAAACCGATCCCTATAATTCCAATCCTGACAACATAGGTACCTCGAAATTTTTGAATCCCTAATTACCGATACGACTAATTAGTAAGCCCTCCGTTGTTTTATAAAAAGCATCCCTTCTTAGGAAACGCGCGGGATCAAGATTCTGTCATTTATAACATTCCATAGAATCGCATTGTTTAGAAATGTCCAAATTCAAGGTATTTCAAGCTCTTCGGATTCCTTTATTCTTATGTTGTATGGGAAATATTGTCGTATCTAAATATTTTATTGCCCATTTCATGCGGTAACTTATTTTGGATTTTTTGAATCTAGTATTATTCTTCATTCAATAACATTAAATTGAATTATTGTTGAATATTTATTCATTCACTGTCGATCACTCGTGCTTATCGATATCGATAAGCGGAATTTCACACGGGACAATGGACTTTCACATTTCTTTGTTGCACAGAACGTCCTTAATTGTCCCGTCCCAGTTATCCTCGTGTATAATTAACGCATAAATTATAACGCGAACGCATTCGCTTACAACGGAAACAAAGAACATCGAGCGCAGCCGCTCTTCGCGATGTTAATTAATTAAAAACCCTTTTCGTGTTGCGCTGTTATAATGGATTTTATCGATACTACGGACGTCACGCGCCGGCCATCTATCGACATGGCATCGCCGCTTACGAAATCGCTTCGGGTACTTGTATCGACACGAGCAATTACACGAGACGCTGTCGCTTATGAAACCGCTCTTTGGCTCGATTGAATTTAATTGGCGTTTTTATTTGTGGGAGCGAAGCGGACCGCTGGTACAGTCGCGTGCAAAAGCCAAAACGGTTTTTTCTGATCACAAAACGTGAACATGTTATTCAATCAACGCCAGTTATTTGAACGAAGGCAATCAATCTTATTTGGCATAGCGTTGAATGGTACTTCAAGGAAAAGCTCGGTAGGTAAGAGAAAAGGGCTTGAATTGTATTATTTATACTTATTATACAAAAAGTGTTTCCGTCTAGGTATTGGGTTCTACAGTTGCATCGCCACTTACTATTAAATTATTCGTCCGATTTAAAATGCTTTAGTTATTTTTAATAGATTTTTTGCTTACGATAGGTGAAAGTGCATAATCTTCTAGCGGATTCGCGAGCGAATTTAGCGTCTTAAAATTTCAAAATAACAAAAACTTTGCGTGACGCGTGTTCTGGACGCGGTACCCGGAAAATGCCGAATCCCACAGCGCTGAAACCTATAATGGTCAAAAAGTTCACATTTTCAGTTTCACCTCGAGAGCCAGAGACTAGCACCAAAATCAAAAATTAACCATCTAGTGTTGTGTCTCGAGTCAAATCGAATTTCCGTACCCAAATAAATGAGCGAAAGTCGGCTATTGATCGTCCTTCAATCACAACGTCGGGGGCGCTTTCTTCCCGCCGTCGAAATTACTCGGCCGTCCCGCAATCTTCGCCGGGACCGGTCGGGCTTTGTTTGCTTTGGCGGATTTTTGCTCTTTTTTGCTCATTGTGCCCTTTTTGCTCGTTTTGCTCGTTTCGGCCTGCGCTATCTTGGCGAACGATCCGCCTCTTCGTTAGCGGGGCGCATTTCAATCTACATTGGGCGTTTCGGGTACCGAGTTTAATGAAGAAGCCGCTGTTCGGTTTCGAACTTACGCCGATTGATTTACATTTATATGATCCGAGGTTTTAAGTCGGCTGATATGGTGTGTACCGAAGTAGTTACTTCTATATGTCCCATGCCGTTTTTCGTATATTTCATTTGCATTTACGTTTGGAGAACAATAAGAGACATAGTTATTAGATAGATTTATTTTTGTAGAATTTTTTGATGATTTTATTTCTTGAAATGACGATATGCTTCAATCAAATGTAACTATATATTTAAATGCATCCGACGAAGGTTAAGACGCTAAGGACTTAAAGAGAAAACATCAGATTCTATCAGGTTTGATTTTATTATTGAATGACGATATTTCAAACAAAGCATCCGCGCCACGGGATACACGGCGCAGATGCTTTGTTTGAAATATCGTCGTTGTAGAACTATGATGACGTTGCAATATCGCAGTGAACCCGAGCTTGTCACGAACATACCTGACCACAGCCCGCGTTAACTACGATATTACAGGTAACCATGACAAAACATAAAACACCACGCAGAGGCCCGAAAGCGTCGGCTGTTCAAAATTTAAACTGTACCACGTACAACATCAGAGTAACAATGTTTAATGAGACATGGTTAAGCGCTCATAAATCGCTCAATTGGCGCTCTCGGTCAAATCATAACGCGACCACATCGACTCGGCGTTAATTAGTGCTGCGTTAATTAGCGTGTTATTTACTATCGGGAATATAGCGCGGCGTGGGCCGACGACACGAACGCTCAGATAAGGGTGACGCTCGGCCGGGGTGGGGAGGTCACTCCAGATAACCACGGACTACGGGCGCCGACCCCGAAACAATGGTCCGCGCGATCGTCTATTTCCAATGCGATAGCGGCGAAAATCGCAAATCAATTACTCCTGCACACTTCTCAGCGTCCGTTCGCCTATCTAAACAGTTATAAAACTGAAAATCGCAAAGCAATGACTCCAATCATTTGCTTATTAAAGTCTATTTCGGGGACAATAAGACCGAAAATCGCCGAGCAGTACTCCATTCGAGCGGCGGTCTTCGATAACGTCACATCTCGGATGATAGACGCGTCGGACCTTTAGCGTTTCTATTATACTCCGCGATAATGGAGACAACTGTCTGCTATCTATCGTTTTCTAATGTACGACTGTAATTGTTTATTGACGATTGCTAACATAACGTTTTTTATGAGGAAAGTTGCCAAGCGGTTCATCTGATGTTAAGTGATTACACGTGAGGGGTTAACAGCATTTTAAAAGTGGGCCCCGCTCATCAGACGAAACGCGAATGTATAACACTTCATTTTGGCTTAACTGTCTCCCTTCTGGAAATTTCGATCTCAACAATGAGCTCTAATTCACAACAAATGATCCGATCGGAGTCTTCGCCCGGTTTCTGAAACACTGATCATCGTAGATGTCAACTAATCAGCTTTCAAATGGCTTTTCAAATTTCATTTTAGTTGCCAGAAGGATTTTTAAACTCTATGAATTGACCAGAATGACCTTCTTAATGATCATAATGATCAATTCAGAGAGTTTAACAATCATTTTGGCAACTCAAATGACATTTGAAAAACCGTTCTGTTTCAGAAATCGGGCGTAATGTCGACAGCTTTATATTTTTTCCGTTAACGTGAAAACCGGCCATGGACATTAGCAACACCCGTAAGATTGCACATGCGTTGCCACCTTTTAATAAAGGTCCGGTTACCACACTCACTAGACAAAACCCAGAAGTATAACACTTCAATTTCACGCCAGTCTTCTGTGAGGTCGTGGTACCGCCAAGGACGGACCTACCCATTCGTGCAACAGCAAAGACTGTCGTGTTCATCACAGTTAAATGGTAGGGATTGGAAGCCGTAGTGGTATTATGACTAAAAATCAACCAACGATTTCGTCGCTTTCGAAACTTCCACAAGCATCAAACGTATAATAAATTAAGCCCTACTTTCTCAAATTAAGACCTTTATCGCTGATTAATTCGTAAGAAAGTCCGGATCGGATATACTGCCGGTTAAATGGAGGGCGCGGAATTCGCGGTGTTTGGGTTACCGGCTTAAGGTCAATTAAAGTGCCCTTATTTTCTGTTTTAATTTGAT